AACTTTGCGTTGCTCTTGAGAACACGCTGGATCAAGGCCTTGACATTTTTCATCTGAGCGTTGGCCGCACGGTCAACCACAGTGGCCAGCAAGCAAGAAGCTTCCAGTTCCTGTTGATGCCAAACAACAGCATCCATCTCAACCTTGAGAACTTCTCTAGCATCCTCCTGCTGCTGTATCTTGTCACAGAACCCAGATACATCATGCATGAGGCAACTAAGCTGTACCAGAAGATGATCTATGGCAATCTTTTCTCTGGTCTCCGATTCCACAAATGGAACTAGCTCCATCAACTGTCAAAGGCTGACAGGGTTCATGCTCAGCAGCCTGGCTACAAGCTCCCTTGAAGTCTCCACAGCCCTCACCATATCCGCTGACTCTCCAGAATCACTCCCAGCGGACCAAGCAGCTTTGCACCAATGTGAGAGGCCCTCCAATGCACTAGCCTCACTTTCTGGGGGGGGGGGGCAACTGAGCCTCAAGGAGGTGGGACCACTGACAAGGAATCAAGAGGAAAAGGTTTTCATGAACTAACCTCAACAATCAGAAGAAACGGGAACACTTACCAAAAACTGGAGGAGGAAGCATCTCCTCATCAAAAGAGACCGTGGCAATACCCGGATCAGCACCATGAGGTTCCTGAGACATGACAGTCTGCCACAGCTCCCCACTTGGTCCAGCGCTATTGGTTATGGGGATTACGTTGTCCTCTGACGTTGCACCAAGAGTGCTCTTGGTACAAGCAACAATTTCACTATTGGGTTGGGTGTCCAAGAAGAGATCCACACTTTGACTGGCACTCATCTTTGCCACTAAGCCAAATAATCCTTCCTGTCAAGAAACTGGTTGCACGTCAAACGGTTCTTCAAAAGAAGTCCTTGGGTCAGCTTTGAAGTGTTTTGAGGAAAAATAAAACTGGACAAAAGTCACTGATCACAACAACCTTGGTACAAAAACTAAGGAGGTCAAAACAGCACTCTTTGAAGTTATGCAAACAGGACAACCTGGTCAGGAAGGGCAATTTAAAGGAGCCCATGGCATTTGGAAAAAATGGCACACACGCCACAAATCTTCAGGTACAAGGCACACACGCCTCTACAACTATTGGGAAAAATTGGCACAAATGACAAAATGAATGAATCCAAACCAGCACACACGCCTAAAAAAAAGAACACTACCAACAATGTAAGAAGATCACGACGGCTATTCTAAAAAAACTGGGGGGCCTTCTCAAGCCCAGGACCTAAACCAGTAAATGAAGAAGCTAAGCTACTTATATACCCAACCTTGGATCAAAAGGCAACTCAAAACTTCCATTGAAGAGCCAAGGACAAATTGGATTAGCCAAGCATACCTGCCCACCCACTTGGAAAAAACTTCATGAATGAGGCTTAGTCCCCATACAACCAACCAATCTAGTGGCGCACCTAGAAACCTAAAGGGGGGATTTGCCAAGCTGGGTAGCCCAATGAACTCACTGGGCCTTGGAGAGCCCAAAAGACTTTGCCTAGAAACCTAAAGGGGGGATTTGCCAAGCTGGGTAGCCTGATGAACTCACTGGGCCTTGGAGAGCCCAAAAGAGTTCACCTAGAAAACGTAAGAGTATTCACTTTGAAAAAACTCAGGCATTGGATTGACGTTGCCAATTCAGGCACCAACTCAACACTGAAAGCTTCAACGTGCAGCGGAGGCTGAAAAAGAAGACTCACCCACCAATGACTCACTTGCATCAACATGAGCTCCCTGCATTGCTTGGGGTTCACCCATCAAAACACAGCAATCTTCCGGTTCTAACAACCTATTCCACAAAATACGCTCATTCACTTCTAAGTTTATTGCACTTGAGCACAGTGTGTCTCCTCTAGGAAAATTGGCAAGGATTCATGTTTCCGGAAGCTCTGATTTCCAAAGGAGACACAGGGGGGGTTTTTTGAGAAACTAAAAGACAACAAAACAATGGATACACTGTTTCTGCGCAGGCACAATAGCTCGCGCAACTGCCAAAACCAGTGACAGCAATAAATCTGCTGTCACTGCGGGTCATAAAATAACATCTGAACTGGGCCATAAAACCCCGACTCAAAAACTACGTATGAGGGGAAATTGCCCCCTTCACAAAAATGAGTGGAAACAAAACCCCAGGCGGGTGAGAACAAAATTTGGGTTTCCCACAACTCAAAATTTGGGAAGGAAACAATTCCTCTCCCTCCTCCTCTCTCTAGATTTTCATTGGAAGCACGCAGTTTCCCGCTTTGTGGGAAACTGCACTCAACTGGCCAGATGTTGCCAACCAAACAGGGAAAAACTCCCCTTTTCTGGAAGAAAATTGTGATTTATTGAGCACCTTGTTAGGATCTACCAGCAACCGTTTTTGATGTTCAGTATTGGCACACCTTGCCAATTATTCCTTGCAGGTATAAATGGGACAGAAAGTCCCAAAAATATCATCAGACCTTTTCTATGCAGACACCATGTTGGACGAAAATCTTGCAGTTGCCAGAAAAGCAATCTCTTGCAAACCCCTGTATTTTCTCCTTGCACGAGTTAAAAACGCGGAACTTTGTGGATATTCAAGTTACCATTTTGTGCTTATACTTGTGCATCTGAAAAAATAGATCTTGCACTTATTTTGGGATTCTTGGATCCCTCAGGTTGGTTGCGCACTGACCAATCATTGAGTTTTACTCTCTCCTGTTCAGATCTCTCTCTCTCTCTACACTCACTTGCAATAAATCGGGGTGCAACACTTGATTTTGAACAACAGAGGTACACTATTCAATGCTCCAAATGTTCTTATAGAGTTGAAAATATATTCACTGAATCAAATTCAAGTGGCAAAAAATTTTTTTCATGGAATTCTGAATATTATTTCTTCCATAAAATACCAATCAGAAATTATGTAATGTAAGTATGTGGGAAACAAGACTCAACTTAGGGACAATTCAACTTAGAGACATTCTTGATTCACCAATTACATCCGCATCTGATGCAGGTCTCATTGTACTGCAAAACTTTTATTCTGTCTTTATTGATAAGACAATTTACCAGTGCATAGCTTTTCAGCACCATTGGAGAATTTTCTTCGAAATTTCATCATCCCTTTATAAAAAAAATCATAAGCAAAGAAAATAGACTCCCATCAGGAAAGATATTCCCTCCTCGTCATTTTGGCCCCTTCCGTTCCCGCATCCCGGTTGTTGACTGCTGAACCCGAGCAGCAGGTCCGGGGAACTTGATGAGAGTTCTGAGGAAAAGGGGGCAAGATGATTATTGACGGTAGACGCCATGCAAGTTTCATCTCGGATTCCTGCTCCTTAATGAGCCCTTGCTTGATCTCACTCCTACCCGTGACTTGAATATTTCAACCGGACTGCAATGGGCTTTGTTATGGTCTCACATATGGGCCTGTTCCCCCAAAGCAGCCAGCGGGTTCTGAGAGAAATCCCAAGGTGCAATTTTATGAAAGCTAATTTCATCCCATGGTTGAATGCAATTCGTTACTCTCGCAGGTGCTAAGCTTCAGAATGTATGACCCGATTTGGTTTTCGTCGTCATGAGATCATCTAATCGCATTGAATGTAAATCGAAGGCCTTCGAGATCGTGAATTCTACTGGGACCAGGAAATGCCTTGAAGGGATGGTTGTTGATTTGGCGAGGTACGGTATTAATTATTTTTAGCTTCATCCCCGACAATCTCCTCAAATTATGCCTTGCTAAAAAAATGAAAAGAGAAATGTAAAAGGGATCAACATGGACGAAGTAAGGATTCCCTTCACAAAATTGCTTGCATGTCTGAGAGCCCGTATGCAAATTATTGAGAAGCGAAGGAATTTTTTCCGCACATCTCCGGCACGCGAGGGAGGAAAAAATTGGAAAGGATCCCTGGTGGCTTCGATGCTTTCTAGAGGAAAAAGTTATTCGATGCTCGCTCAAAATGTTCCTGGCGTTTCTTCATTATATGCAGACGCTAAAAAATTTAAATTTAAACTCTCGACAAAAAGATCGGTTGCTTCGAAACTTTTTTTTACTGCTAATCCAATGATTTTTTTTTTCGTGCGTCAGATGCGATTTCTTGTTTACCCTTACGGTAGATTTCATTTCGTAGGAATTTTCTCGGTTTGAAATATTCTCAGCAGGATGAAAGAAAAAGTTCCTGTGCATTACATCAGATTATTCTTGTTTTTATTGACAGATTATCCTTCTCTTCGAAGCGTATATACAGGCGGTCTCTCTCTCTCTACAACCGAATGAAGTAGCCATAAAAAATTCGTTGTAGAGAGAATTTCATTGTAGAGAACCCCTATGACATGAGGAGAAACCCCTGCCTATGGGACCAAAACAAAATTCGTCATTTGGAGAGTATCGGTTTTGACAATATCATAGATGTAGAGAGTATACCCGTATATAGCAATTTTCATACACAGTACATATTTTTCATTTCTAAATATTGTGCACAGGATTGCCTGAAATCTTTTAACAAAATAAGCACCTTCGTCTGCTTATTTTTGGTTTGACATCCTTAAACATGCTTGGGTACCGCATTAGAAAAGCCATACAAGCCTCTATTTTACCTGATGCTAGATAATTTAGTATATATCGAACTTTGTATATACACTGAGTGAAAATTGATCAAATGGGCAAAATATTGACACAACCACCATTTTGAATGTCATCTTGTAACCAACAGTTGTTCACAATAAATAATGCTCGCTGGTTCACAATTGGCAAAACTGAAGAAAATCAGCAAATTCCTGGCTTTTTGATACGGTTCTCCATCAATATTAGACGAGAGCGGGGAAATATTTTTTCATTTATTCAGAATGACTTCGTTCAATCCCAGAATTCCCCAATTTTAAAAATGCTTCGCAAAAGGTACAAGAACAGAATCTTATTGGATTTTTGGGACAATGCAGACGTGGTAGACGAATTGACGATCTGTGCCGTTTATCGAAACCCTCTTAGTGTGAACAGAAATTCGAAAATGACAGCCATGGCGCCTGTTTTGCTCAGAACGAAAGATCAACATGTATTTCCACTTTTCTTATTCTGCTCTTGATCGTAAAGATAAGAGCCCAAATTGACAGGAAAACTGTAGCCGAGCGCGACGGGAAAAATATATATTCAAAGTGTCAAATTTTGAAAACGGAGGAAGTTTGTTACCGAAAAATGTCAAAATCGCAAACAGAATATTCATCCGGTGATTCAGAAACTTCAGTCAAAATCTGCTTAGCACCACTCAGCACTGATCCAGTTGCCATTCAGAAACGTCAGGAATGCTGTAATTCCAACGAGTTTATTACTGTGGATGCGGCTAAATCCGGACATGGTGAAAAAAAAGTTTCTTTCAGGAACAAAAATACAGTAGAGCATAGCAAAAAAACCGTCGGTTAAAATTATCAATCATTTTTTCAGTGAAACGGGAAATTCGAGTCATGGCTGACGGCGTCTACGACTTACTCCACATGGGACACATCCTTATGCTTAAACAAGCCAAAGAAGCCTTTCCAAATGTGTATTTGATCGCAGGCGGTGAGTCAAGCATATCGTCAAAATAACATTTTGATTCAATTTTTAAGCATCAAAAAAGTCAGCAAAATTAATAGAGTACCATGTGGCTAAACGTAAAATTAATCCACTTGATTTTTAGGCAAAAGGTGTGAGGAAAATTATCAAAAACCCCCAGGAAAGGGCACCATTAGCCTGGGGAGTGTTACTACTTACCTAACCAAAATTCCCTTCACTGCAAATATTGAACCACTTCCTCGTAAGGATCCCCCCAGCCTCAGAAATTTTAGCAGGCTGTTGTCCGTAAACCGAGGTATAAATAAATGTTCAAATTCAATAAAAAATATATATTCAAATATATTCAATCCACAATAAGTATTCGTACAATCTCACAAACATAAAAAAAGAGAGCTTTAAGAGAGTCTTGCTAAAA